CTTGCATTGCAGGTGTTGTGTGGCCTTGTCTAATCCCTTTCTTCTACCTGACTTATTTCACTGTTCCTACCTGCTCTGTCAAAAAAAGAAAAAAGCAGTTTCAGTTTCCTCAACGTTTGGCTCAGATGATATTTTTGCTCTTTTGGCCAAATATTCTGCTTGGAAGTATGAGTCCTTGCTCATTTACACAGCCTGTCCCACACATTCACACGTGGCCTTGTGTTAGAATTCCTCCGCGTGTATGTCACATGGCTCCTAATAGAACAAGAGCCTGGTGAGGGCAAAGAACGCGTTGGTAGCACGATGGTTACCTTCATGTGGTAGGCCCTCGGTATATATTTGTTGAATGTTCAGTGTTCTTTCTTGATAAATGAGATGTTGAATTATTTCATTATTTTAAAAAATCAATTGGGAAATAACAAGTGTAGAAATATTTTCTCCTTTTTTAAAAATTTTGGAGGCATTATATAGAAGATAATAAAGGGTTTCATTATTTTGTGTGTGCATATTAATGCAGTTGTCCCTCTTTTGTCTGAAAAAATGTAGTAGTGTGTTCCATCATTAGAACATTCACTCTGCATAAGTGCATGTGTGTGAGTCCTCCCTAAGTTAGTGTTTGTTCTGCACATACACTTCTAAAGAGGAATCCCCTGCCAGTGTCCACAGTGAAGGTAGTGTGGTAGTGTGTCGTAGGAGTGCTGGAAGGGGGAGACATGGTTGGACTCCTCATGGAAAGGAAGAGAATTCACACCATTTTAGGAAAAACATTAAAAAATGTCAAACATAAGTTATGGGCATTTTCAAACATGTACATACACAGATATATACAAACGTTGGTAGGATAATATATTGGATTTCCATGTAAATGTCCCTCAGCATTAATCATTTTCAGCACATGGCCTTCACTGTGCCCCTCTGCTGGACTGTTCTGAAGTGCTATCTCAGACATATTTCATTTTACCTATGAATACTTGGGGAAGAGACATTTCTTACACCACAATGAGGTATTTGTTTATTTTAGTACCTTATATGTGCTTGGAATTGTTCTAGGCTCTTTGGATGTAAGGGTGGATAAAATAAACCATGCTCTTTCTAGTATGGGGAGACAGAATAAACCAGACATACAGATAACCAGAACAGGAAAAAAACCGGATTTTATCAAAATTTAAAACTCTTGCTTATCGAAAGACATTAATAAAGTGAAAAGGGAGAAAATATTTGTGAAACCTATATCTGACACGTGATTTATATTCAGAACACATAAGCACCTCCCCCGGCTCAATAATAAAATAGACAGCCTGTGTAAGAAGTGGGCAGAAGGCTAGCAAACATTTCATAAAGCACATAGCACACTATTCGGCACCATCAGTAGTCATCAGGGAAGTGCAGATTAGAGCCATATACACCTACCGGAATGACTGAAAGTGAAAAGACTGACAGCATCCAGTATTTGTGCGAATGTGTGGATCCGTCAAAATGCGCGACGTTGCTGGTGGCTGTGTAAGAAAATCAGGCAGACAGCTTCTCACAAGATTAGCATACACATCTGTCCCTGTAATCCAGCCTTACTACCCTTAGGTATTTACACAGAAGGAGTGCACATATATGTTCATAGAAAGACTTGTTTGAGAATATGCGTAGCGGCTTTATCGTATTAGCCAAAGAAGGGGAAACAGCTCAGGTGTCCATCCACGGAATTGTGGTGTACCTGTATGACAGAACTCTGCTCTCGCTGAAGTGGGACGCGTGCACTGTTAATACATGCAGCAGAAACATTGCATTGAGCAAAGGAGGGCAGACCCTCCTTCCCCGCAAGAGGCCTGTTGTCTCATTCCATTTATATGAACTTCAGGGACAGGCAAGACTAATTCATTGCAGAAGAGGACTGGGCAGTGGTTGCCTCAGGGAGGGGGAGTTACCCAGGAGTGAGTGTGAGGGGTAGGAGACAATTTTGGGGGAAGATGGAGTGGAGTGATCTCTGTCTTGATAGGGCACCCATGAGGGACCCCTTGCAGGTCTCCAGGCTTCTCCTCTCTCGGACTCTGCCCTCAGCAGATTCTAGCTGCCCCTCCACTCTGTTGGGAGACCCCTGGGCTCTGTCTGGGATCTCGTTGCTGTGCTGTGGCCTGGGTCCTTTCTCCAGGCTGTAAGCTGGGACTCCTCTTGTTTGCATCTCATCTCTGATCACTGTCCTTTAGTTTCTGATGTCCAGAGTGTTATGCTGTTGTTTCATAGATTTTGTCTGTTTTTTTTCTTTTTTAGTTGTTTCATGCATGAGAGTAAATCCAGTCCCTGTGACTCTTCTTCAAGTAGATGTTCTGGACTGGGCACTATTTCTTTTAAAAAAAATTGTCCTACCCTTTATAATGTAAGGCAGAGGTTTTGTGTTTGTTCTTTGCTGTAATTCCAGTATCTACAATCAAGAGTACTTGGCGTGTAGTAGGTACTCCGTGATGTTTATGGAACAGATGGACGATTCATCCCCCCTCCCTCCCCTTTACTCTTTAATTACAAATGTTGAATAGCAGAACCAGTCCTTTATTTAAAGGAGCATTTTCTAAAGGGTGTTAGAACTGGTCTTTTGATTCTTTATAAATAATGAGTTCTGTAATGAAATTGGTTTGGGAAATGCTTGTGTGCTGAGACATCCTATGGTAAAGAAACTGTGGTTCAAGCCAGAGTTTCCTAAACTTATTTGACCAGGGGTTTGTTTTTCCTGCCCAAACATCTATTAACCTCTTACTTAATTTATATTTTCTGGATCACATCCTGAGAAATGGTAAACATCTTGTAAGTGTAATGAAACTATGTACATTTATCTTTTTCACTCTTTTACAAGAATGGTACAGTCTGTTCTTGTAACACAGTAACAAATACAAGATGTTTTTGTGTTGTAGGTTATATTCGACAATTTATATGTTTTTAAGCAGCTTTATTGAGATATTCACATACCATACACATTATCCATTTGAACTACAATTTAATGGATTTAAGTATATTCACGGACATGTGCAACCATCACCACAGTAAATTTTAGAACATGTTCATCACCTCAGAAAGAAACCCTGTGTTCTTTAGCTTCCCCCCCCCGGACTTGCTCCCCTCCCCCAGCCCTGAGGAACCACTGGCCTATTTTCTATAGCTATAGATGTTCCTATTCTGGACATTTCCTGTGAAAGCAATCCTATGCTATGTGGTCTTTAGTAACTGGCTTCTTTCACTTAGCATTTCCAAGGTTCACGCATACTGTGGCATATGGCAGCACCATTCCTTTATGCGGCCGAGTATTCCATCGTGTGGATATGGATGTACCTCATTTTGTTTTTCCATTAATCTGTTGATAAACATTGGGGTTGTTTCCACCCCCTGGCTATTATGACTAATACTGCTGTAAACATTTGTATACAGGTTTTCTCAAGGACAAATGTTTTCACTTCTCTTGGGTGTATACCTGGGAGTGGGACTGATGGGCTGTATGGTAGCTCCATGCTTAGTCATTTGAGGAACTGCCATTCTTTACAAAGTGGCATCACTGTTCTACATCCCTACTAGCCTTTGTGTGATTGTTCTGATGTCTCTACATCCTCAGCAACACTCGTTACGTCTGACGTTTTGATTCTAGCCATCCTAATGAGTATGAAATGGTATTGCATTATGGTTTTGGTTTGCATTTCTCTAATGACTACGGATAGAGTATGTTTTCATGTGCTTTTTGGCTGTTTGTGTATCTTCTTTGGAGAAATATATACAGAACCCCTTTTGCTCATTTAGAAATTGGTTCATCTTTTTATCATTGAGTTGTCAGAGTTCTCTATATGTTCTAGATTAAGTCCTGTGTCAGGTATATGATTTGCAAAAAGTTTTCCCCACTTTGTGGGTTGTTTTTTTACTTTGTTATTTGAAATTTTTAATTTTGATAAAGCCCAGTTTATCCACTTTTTATTTTGTTGCTCATGCTTTTGGTATCACATAAATATATTTTGTTCCCCACTGTTAGCAGAGTCAGAATAATAGCCTTTATTGGATTTGTCATCGTTATGAAAAAAGTAGTTAAAATAGTTAAAAATAGTTATCATTAGCTTTGAGGCCATAATTGATGGTTTTGTATTCACATCAAATCCAATGGCATTTGGCTAAAAATTCCAATCCTGGTGTAATGTAAATGGAAAAATGATATGTTTTAATTGAATTAAATAGCATAATGAAAAATAAAATCAATATTATTGATTTTAAAGCATTTTATTCAGTGAAATTCTTTTCTCCTCCCAAAATTTGCTTCATTAATCCTGCTCTCCTGCTGACGTTTCCGTTTGTCATTGACCGTCAGATGGTACAGGATGGCTGTTAGATGAGGAAACCGGTGATTGACAGTGGGAATAGGAGGGGCTTTTCATTGGCAGGAGAGTTTGAGCAGGAATAGTGATGTGCGATGAGAATGTGCATGTTGTTAATTAGGGTATATTTAGGAAAATCATGCTAAGGCTCGTTGCTGCAGGGGAAAAGGATGAAGCAGTTGTTTTTAAGTTTCACACTGGGGTTTAGACTTCGGTTGGGAGACTGCAGAGGGGAAGGCCCGACTTCCTGGCTTGCATCACAGCAGTTTTGTTTAATCTGTTTTACAGATGGGGGTTTCACTGAAATGAAATTTGAAAAGATGGCTTCTCTGTTTAAAAAAAAAAATAGTAAGCTGAAATGTAGTAGTAAAGAGAATTGACTCATGGGAGTTTTTTTGCAAGCTTGGTTGGGAGCACTGCTTCCATCAGAGATGCCGTAGTGTTGCTTCCTGAGTCAGCAGCGTGGTGATGCTATTCCCCAGATCTGACTTCGTCCTTTTCATAAGGACTTCACACGTGCCACTGAGTACATCTCAAGATAAAGGAAATCTTGAGGCTATGAAATTTTTTTCATTTAGTGTGTCACTTTATGTTGACTTTTAGACGAAATATGTGTGTGTGTTCTCTACATTCAGAGGTTTAACAACGTGTTTATTTGCTGCACAGGTTATGAGTGCCAAGTGAGCTGCCCTGACGCAAGAAGCATCATCAGCACGTTGTTCACGATGGATACTGAGAAGAAGCCAGAGAATGATGAGGATGAAAACAGAAACAAAGAAGCAAAAGACTCGAGAAATTCTTCAAGTGATGATGCAGATTGTGGGCCCGTATTTGATGTGATAGCAAATTCTTCAGAGAATTGCACCAGCAAAAGAGGTTTTTCAGAATCCTCACACTTTGGCGGTGTCACCGTGGTGGAAGACGGGAACAAACATGCTTCCAAACGAATGAAATTATCAGCCGAGGCAGAGCACCTAAAGTCTGAAGAGCAGGGCGTTCCCGGGCTAGAAACTTCTGAGAGCCCAGTCCCAGAAGTGCATATCCCGTTAGGTGAGACAGCGAAGGAGACCCTCCTGAGGGAACGCCCAGATGGAGGCACTTGTCTTCCAACTACCTTCTCCCCTCCTTGCAGTTTTCGCACTGTTGATGCTGTTTCTCTGAAAGCAGACCCTGAAAAACAGTCTGCTCAGGAAGTGGTTTCCCTTGACCCAGAAGGAGAATCTCCTTTCCCCCTGAAAGAGATCAGTGTTAGTTGTACCATGGGAAACGTGGAGACGGCTCTCAAGTGCAACGTCTGTGGTCATTTGTTTTCTTCCTGCGCGGATCTGGAGAAGCACTCTGAGTGCCACACGCAGCCGTCTGAGGAGCACGCGTGCTGTCCCTGCAGCCACACGGCAGAGAGCGGCGCGGCGCCGCATGTGCGCATCAGGCAGGCACATGGCCCGCCCCAGGTCTTTTCTTGCGATCTCTGTGGCTTTCAGTGTGTGGAAGAAAACCTGCTGAATGCACATTATCTTGGCAAAACGCACCTCCGGCGTCAGAATCTTGCTGCTCGTGGAGGATTTGTACAGATCTTAACAAAACAGCCCTTTCCTAAGAACCCATGTACCATGGGCGCAAAAAATGTTCGCGTAAAACCAAGAGCTTCTAAACCAGTAGCAAAGACTGGTGATTCAAAAGGATTACGAAATGTTGGAAGCAAATTTAAAGATTTCCGAGGCAGCGTTTCTAAGCAGGGTGGAAGCAGCTGTGAGCTGCTTGTTGAAATGATGCCGTCTAGGAACACCTCATCAGAAAAAGTAGAGATTGTTGAAGAAAACGTAACTTCCCTTCCTATAGCTCGAAATCCTGAAAACCAGAGTAAAAGTAAAAAGTTAGGAGCATTGGTAAGCTCCGAGGGTCTCTTTGATAAATTAGAATCTACCAAAAATACCCTACAGGCAGCACCCAGTGTCAGTGCAAGCTCGAGACCAAGACCCGAGCGAAACGTCCTCACGCTGGGCAGTAGCTTCCGACGGCGAACTGGCACGTTTACTTTAAAAGGCCAGGCCAAGAAAAGGTTTAATCTTTTAGGAATTAGTAAAAGAGGAGCTAATGACACCCAGAGGATGTATATGAAACACTTTAGAACCCAGGTGAAGACACGTGAGGCACAGTCTGTGGCCAATCATGTAGAAACGAGCGGCGGTGTCCACAGTCTGTGTGTGACTTCCTCGGAAACCCCGGACCTGACGCAGGACAAAAGAAGCTGCCGTGTTGTGTGCTCCTTTCACTCTGCGACCGTGAGGCCAGCTACTGATCATCAGATGTGTGCTGGTCCAGACTGTGGTCACGTGGCAACAAATAGGACAGACGTGGAGAGCCACGGGGAGAGGGGCCCCATTGGAGAGGTGAAGCTTTGCTGTCAGGCGTGTGGCTTTTCCAGCACGTCGAGGGGGGACTCAGACAAGCATTTGCACGACCACCAGCATCTGCACACTGCCGCTGGCCTCACCTGTCAGTGCTGTTCATTTATTTCTGAGAATGAACTAAATCTTAGAGACCACATGAAAGAAAAGCACAATATGGGTTTTCTTTGCACTCCTTGCAATCTGTTCTTCCTGTCTGAGAAAGACATGGAAGAACACACAACAACCGAGAAGCATATTCGTTTATTGGTTCAACCAAAGACTTCCCAGTCATTTAACAGTGATTTGGCTTTACAAACTTTACCCTTAAGTACTTTAGAATCAGAAAATATAAAAGATCCTATGAGTGAGTCAGGTAAAGCAGCTCAGGAAGAACCTGCTAAGTCCAGGGTAAGCCATGGGCATGAAGTGAGGCATTCAAGCAAGCCTCAGTTTCAGTGTAAGAAGTGTTTTTATAAAACGCGGTCTTCCACTGTTCTCACAAGACACATCAAGCTCCGGCACGGCCAGGACTATCACTTTCTTTGTAAAGCGTGTAATCTTTACTCGCTGAGCAAGGAAGGAATGGAGAAGCACATTAAGAGAAGCAAGCATCTTGAAAATGCCAAGAAAAACAACATCGGCTTAAGTTTTGAAGAATGTATTGAAAGGGTGTGTATAGGTGCAAATGACAAAAAAGAAGAGTTTCACATTTCTGGAAGTGGAAGGATCGAAGGCCACGTAGAAGGTGTGCAGCTGCAGGAGCATTCCTGTCTTGAAAAGAGCCTACTGACTACCAAGGAAGCGCCACAGCCTGGTGTAGCCACCAAAGAGGGTGAAGTAGCTTTGACCGCTACTCCAAAGAGAGGGAGACCCAAAGGTAACGTCTCGCGGACATGCTCTCATTGTGGTCTCTTGGCCTCTAGTATTACCAACCTGACTGTTCACATTCGACGAAAACACAGTCACCAGTATAGTTATTTATGCAAAGTGTGTAAGTATTATACCGTAACAAAGGGAGATATGGAGCGTCATTGTGCCACTAAGAAACATAAAGGACGTGTGGAAATAGAAGCAAATGGCAAGCAGAGTTCAGATATCATTGTTGGCCCCGAAGGGGGCAACCTTGAAGCCTGTAGAAAGACTGCCACCTCAGCAGGTTCAGATGAACTTGCTAACAGGTCAGCAGAATCAGATACCTCCTCTTCAGAAAAGCCAGTGGCAGAGCATGGAAATCCAACTGAAGTTGAAATTGAAAATGTATTTCATTCTACAGATGGGGAAGTCAACAGTCAGCTTACTGATAAAAAGGAACAAATGTCTCTAGAACCAGAGGACCCTCTCCAGCAGGTGGATGCATGCTCTCAGAGAGATGTTACGGGTACGAGTGATAACAAGTGTGTACACTGTGAGTTTAACGCTCACTCTTCTGCTTCTCTAGAACTGCACATAAAACGGAAACATACAAAAGAATTTGCTTTTTATTGCATGGCCTGCGATTACTATGCTGTGACTCGTCGAGAGATGACTAGGCATGCAGCCACAGAAAAACACAAGTTGAAAAGGCAGTGTTACCTGACCTCTTCTGACGTAGAAGCAAATTCTGCGGACGTGTCCAAAAATATCATTATCCCTGAAGAGCAGCACCAACACAATTCTGAAGAATATCAAATATTATCAGACCAGCCATCTGAAGAAATTCTGAAATCTAAAAGTACTGCTGATTGTTGTGTTTTGGATGAGGATGCTAATCTAGACGTGTCTAAGGTCCTCCGTGCTCCCACCTCTGTAGAGATTGAGACTGAAGAAGAATCTAATCTCAGTGAAGATCATTCCTTTTGTGAAACTTTCCAACAGCCCTTGGCCAAGGATAGAGCTCTGAAACCTGAGGAGATGGTGTCCCTTAATATTTCCTCCAATTGTGGCTCCCCAGGCAGATTTCAGAATTCAGGAAGCTCAGCTTTGGATTATGAGGCAGTAGAGAGAGCCCACAGTACGTTGAATGACCGTGGCGATGCGAGCATGCTCAGTGAGAGCGATGTTGGCCAGGCAGGGGAGAATGCAGGTAAAGCCCTTAGCAAACATGGTGGATGTCCTGGAGGTCTTGGGGGAGGGCATCTGGCTGACGGCACTGTCCCTGATGTGATGACAAGGACAAGGCAGGAGCTAAACCTGGAGAGTGGTGGTCAGAACGAAGTTGGGAGTGTGCAGGGTTCAGAGGATTTGAAAGATATCCAAGAAGATGCTGTTCTGGAGAACAAGGAAATTCTGATGAATTCCCAACATGAAACGAAAATTATTTTGGAAGAGGATGGTCCAGCTTCTGATAGCACAGTTGAAAGTAATGATGTTTATGAGACTATAATCAGTATTGATGACAAAGGACAGGCCATGTACAGTTTTGGCCGGTTTGATTCTTCCATAATAAGGATAAAGAACCCTGATGATGGAGAATTGTTAGACCCGTCCGAAGAGGGTCTGGTAACAACAGGCGTGAGGATTAGTGAGTTGCCCTTAAAAGACTGTGCTCAAGGTGTGAAAAAGAAGAAATCTGAAGGTAGTTCCTTCGGTGAATCCACACGAATTCGTTGCGATGACTGTGGCTTCTTAGCAGATGGTTTGAGTGGACTGAATGTTCACATAGCCATGAAACACCCTACAAAAGAGAAACACTTTCATTGTTTACTGTGTGGAAAATCATTCTACACAGAGAGCAACCTCCATCAGCATTTGGCCAGTGCTGGTCATATGAGAAATGAACAGGCCAGTGTAGAGGAGCTTCCGGAGGGAGGGGCCACCTTTAAATGTGTCAAATGTACGGAGCCCTTTGATTCAGAACAGAATTTATTTCTACATATTAAAGGGCAGCATGAAGAGCTGCTGCGGGAGGTGAACAAGTACATAGTGGAAGACACTGAGCAAATCAACCGCGAGAGAGAAGAAAATCAGGGAAACGTTTGCAAGTATTGTGGGAAGATGTGTCGGAGTAGCAATTCGATGGCATTTCTAGCACATATTCGCACTCATACAGGTATGTACCCTTCCGCAAACCTGTGTTGACATATACAGTGCAAACGAAAGATAAAATTGGGATGTTTGTTCCCATCCAGATATGGAGTCCATGCTGCCTTTGGTTGTTGTCCTTCCGCCTGGCTCACGTGACCCTGCTGGGTGGCATTCTGGACATCTGCCCTAAGTCAGTGTGGACATGTAACATTTCCAAAGTTAATTAAGCCTTAGTGATTCCAAGGCAGGTTATTTGACAAATTTCCTTTCATTTTATCAAAAAGCCTTGCCCCCCTGATGCCTTTGTTAGTTAGAGTCCTGTTTCTTAACAGCTTTTCAGTTGCTTCTGAGTCCTAATTGTTTGGTTTTCCAAGGTAGCTATTAAGGGGCACGGTGGGTTTCAGAGGACATATTAAATGGCTTTTGAGGAATGAAATTATAAAAATTTTCTTAGAATTTTAGGGATTTAAAATTATTCATTGCCAGATGGTTTATATTGAAAAGCGTAACTCCCAGGCAACAAGATTCTACTTTCAAGGATCAGAATTAGTGAACACTTTTCAAAGTTAGTATGTCCTGGGGGTTTGGTTTTCATGAAGGCAGTGCCTCATTTAGTTTCTGTGCTCTGTCAAATGTAGTGTTCCATTTTAATGTTTAATTTGGGGTGGAAATTTTTTTTAAACTTTTTTTTTTGTGGAAAATGCATAAGCCACTGTTCTAAATTTATGTAAAAATTCACTGCACTGTTTCTATAAACCTGCCATACATTCTTTATTTTAAATAGACAGCTTTTCTAAATCATTGTGCTCTGCTTAGACAAGTTCTGTCTCCATGGTTGAATTTATGAGTGGATTTGAATAATAAATTCACATTTCAATGAACATATTTTCATTAAAACTGTAAGGTTTATTTTACTGTACTTTTAAATAATGGCTTATTATTAAAGCTATACTTTAAATTCATGCAGTTTTTGAAACTTAGTGCATGGTTACAAGGAGGAAGACAAAAGAGTATGAAACATTACTAGTTTAGGGAGATTAAAGATAGATAAAAGTTTTTCATTGAAGAAAGTAAGAGGGCAACCTGCATAAGATTAATCAAGGTAAATACAGACATTGTACTGTTGGTCCCAATTCTTCATGCAGTGGCGCTGTTGTTGGGGAATAAATGCAAATACTGATTTCTTGGCGTTATTTATACCTCTGTTAGTACTGTGCTCACTTTATGGAGTGATCTGGCTTTTAGAAATCAGGCTTGTTCACATGTGTAGAAGGTATGTACTTTTTTAACATGCCCTCTAAAGGCAGATAAAAACTGAATAAAACTAAGAGGAAGATGCTAATGGACCTCTTTTTAGAATTCTTTATGCAACTGTCTGGTCAAGACATGTTGCTTATAATTGATGTGTCCATTACTTGAATTCTCTTGTAATTATAGTCAATAAGTCTTGTAAATGTGTTAAAGCTCACTAAAAGCATACAAATTCAAGAACAGAGTAAGGCTAATAATTTAAAATAATCAATGTAGGCATTTCAGCACTTAATTTCCCTTGTGTGTTGATAGCTGATCATTCTTAATCCATTAAGATTTATTTAGTCGTTTACAATGCAAAATAGGTTTGCACTGGTCACTTGTGCCATTTGAAAACGTCCACTAGGTTAAGTGCAGAATGTAGTCCATTAGTCTTCCTTGACTATATGTATTAATTGCATTTAAAATCAAGTTAATGTGGATGTGAAAGTGAGGTAACTATCAATATGTGACAAAGTAACCCTACTTATATAAGTTACATCATTGATTGTAACATTTAGTAAAAGTTAGCATACTTTTTAATATCTTCTGTTGGGCTTATCAGCAAGTACATTTTTATTGTGTTCCGAAGCACCACAAAGAGCCCCGCTCCTCCGGACACAATACTAGTCTGCCATTTCAGTTTTCAAGCCACTTTTTGGGGGATGTTGTCTCCCAGTTTTGATCCAGGGTTGTTTTGTTTTTGTTTTTGTTTTTTTTCTTTTTTCCTTGGGCATCTTCAAATGAATTGCTTTTCTGATACTTTGCTTATGTCCATGAAGTAGTAATGCAGAGACTGTTATTAATGGTTAACTGGAAAAGGACTTACTCTTCCAATCCCTGTTTTCATATTTTGTGATTTACTGTATATTTTATGTCACCTTTTCTTCCCATCCTCAGCACGATAAAAGCGGCACTCTAAGAAATAAATGAGTTTTGGTTTTCAAGAATTGTAGGAAAAAAGCACCGCGGAGTTTTCCTGTGCCTTGGCTTGTGTGAAGTCATTAGCATGCGCAGAAAGGGCAGTGTTGCCTCTCCCCTTATATCAGGGGTGCGGAATCAGCTGTTCATTTTCCCTCCTGCATATTCTGTCGGCTAGAGCTTTCCTTTCCTAAGACATGGCTAGTGGATGTCATTAGACTAGAAGACTGTCAGAAGCCCTTCATTGGATGCTCTGAGCGCATGGGGTCACTTGTGCTCTCTGGAAATGTTCACAAGCAGGGAGATAGGGAGTTGTGTGACTTCACTGAAAAAGTCTCCTGTGAGGGCTGGTAGTGTTTAACTTAATACGCATCTGACAGTTTAGAAGCTGAATCCACTTGAGAAGAGAGGGTGAGGAGAGTTGGTCCGTTGATTCCAAGCCTAGGGAGGGCCTGGGCTCTGCTCTGTTCACTCTTCATCCCCACGCCCCACACAGAGTGGGCTCAAGGTGTTACTTAGTGAATGAATGAGTGAAGGACAGAATGAAATGGTCAGCGGTTAGGGAGGGTTGTAGCATCGAGGCTGTTGTGGAGAAGCATTAGGTGATGGGTTCTATACACTCTTTAAGACCTACAGTTTGAAGGTCATTTTTCTTAATGTTCACCTCACAACCATGTATGCATAGCAATTAGCCATGAATGATGGTGAGGAATGGCTGTTGTAGGTCTGACTGAAGACTTAGTTTTAAAAATCTTTGGAATTCTTTTGGTAAAATTGTAAGGTGCCGGAAAGCCTAGAGAGTGGTTTTGGTTTTTTCCCTTTCAAAAAACCTCGGAGGCCAGATTAAAAGAAGAAAACCTACTGTGGATAATGCTGTACCCAGGAATGAAACTATTTAAAATAATATTGACAGTTTATAATAATCACGATACACTTGCAAGGAAGATAAATTTAGAAATACGTGGCTTTACAAATTTTGCCTTATAAACAGTATGCCTGGATTCATTTTGGGATGTGCCTAGCAGGCTTAAAACTGGAAACATTATTAGAAAAAAGAGGACCTTTTTTTTTTTTTTTCCCCCTTATGCAGGAAAGTATTATCTCCACTTCCTGGAATTTTTATGGCACAGAAAGGAGATGTTAACACAGTCTGTTCTGAATATCTGATGTGAAAAATAGTCAGGACCTCCTGATTTCTGTGCGAAAGCAGTCAACAGAATAACTCATTTATGTGTTGTCAACACGCTAGCAGACTAGCAGTGAGGAACTAGAACTTTCCACTGAGGAGCCACGTGGAGTAACGTGAAAGGTCTGTACCCAGGCCGTGGCACCTGCGCTCACACACGAGGGACTCAGCTCAGTGGCAGTGTAGGGGGACCCTGACGAAAACCTACATCCACAGGAGATTTGAGATGCTTTCACCAAGACTGTAATGCAAATGTTGACGGCTTTATTTTCTTTGGAGTCCTGATGTTATTGTTAATTAATAATTTCCTAATTGCCTTATTACCTTTAATGCATTTCAATTTAAAGTGCAGGTAAATTGGTTCTCTCACTCTTTTGTTTTCTATGTCCCTTTATAGAATTCTTTGTCGAGATGAAGTGTTTCCAGGTAGTGATAGGCTTAGTTTTATCAGAATCATTTAAATAAACTGTAGTTTCTAATGTGATTGATAGAATGTGATTGCTGTAAGCTGCAGTCTCAACCTGCTTTTGACATTTAAACATATAAAGCTGACTAGATATAACCATTCAGGTGCTAAATGTATTTTACATCTACTTCTAACAGTAGAAATGGAAGTATTAAGAGATCTGGCTTCATTGTCATTGAACTGTGAAATATTCAACCTTGTCTGCCCGTGCTTAGTACTGTTGACTTTTTTATTTCTGTTAGAAGATTAAAATTAAATGCTTCACTTTTTTGGTCAGCTTTTGGGAATTAAATTGAAATTTAGGACTCTAAAATTTTTTACTGAGTGCTTCAATTTCAACAAAGTATTCTTGGAGGATTATTTTTTTCAAGGACACTGCACAAAGGTTCATTGATCAAATATGATTTATTGCAATTTTTTTATTTGAGCTCTTTTTTGTATATTTATTGAAGTTCACATATATCATATTCTAACTATATTAGAAGAGGTATTTCACCAAATAGGTACTAAACATGGTACGAAAGATCTGGAAACATATTGTAGTGATTTTAGACTGTGATTTTTATGATTTTGATTTATTTGAGGATTTAGTGGTTAGAAAATTGAAAAATGGTATAATATACATGTTGCACTTAAAGGAATGTTGCTTCTCATTAATGTGGGTACTGATTACCTGCTAGTAACTGTGTTCCAGTTACAATCTATCTATTCCTGACACTAGGTTTGTTGATGCTGAAGTTATTTTGTTTTCTCATATTTGAGTATAGTTTAATCTTTGTGAAATTTAAAAAAAAAATTGTGGTACTGTGCTTTTTATGTTGAAATATTTGTTCTTGAAATCAATAAATAAAATGTCAGTACTGGTTTGCAGAATCATCACAGATTTTTGACTATAAAATGATCATAAAAGCAAATAACTTATCCATTGTATATTCTTACATTGTGTGCTATTAAAATAGTAACGTAGTGAATCATTTGGGATAAATGTCAGAAAAAAAATCTGAAATGCCTTTCTTAATGTGAGTAAATTCAAAGCTGCAGAAATATGAGGAAGGGAGCTGGCCACTGAGAAATTTATTTGATGATAAATGTACTTTATAAAATATCAGCTACTCTGTATGCATTTGTTTTTATAATGCTCCATTTTACATGTTGAATGACTTTAAAAGATATTTTTGCAAATTGTTAGAAAATATTTAAAATTATTTAGTTCATCTTACCTACTTAGTACTGCTCAACTGTATCACTTTTGACTTTAAATCTTAGAAATGTTACTGCAAGTTAGGAACACTCACTGAAACAAAGTCTTCTTTGGCGGAATAATTATGGAATGCAGGTCTATTCAAGTTAGAAAGGAATGCAGGTATTCCATTTTGGGGCCAGAAATTTCTAAACAGATGAAAAGTATGATTTAAGATCTAGGCCTCTTTTTAAACTATCAGTAATGTATTATTCAAATTCAAATCATATTTTATGTTAAATTTACTTAGGATCAAAACCATTCAAGTGCAAGATATGCCATTTTGCAACAGCTCAGCTTGGCGATGCCAGAAACCATGTCAAAAGGCACCTTGGGATGAGGGAATACAAGTGTCACGTCTGTGGGTGAGTAAATTGAAACCGTCTCTACTGTGGTGAACCAGGAAGCACATGCACGATAGCCATTGTTTCAGAATTCAAAACTGATACGAGTAAGAGTGGCTAAAATTATGCATGCGTATCCTCCTTTCCATTGTTATGGTAAATTCCTTAAATACAGTTATGACATTCTTCTCCCACTTCTAATCCTCTACTGAAGATGAGCAATTTTATGGGCTACAAGGTCAATTTGAACCTGTAATCTGTAAATTGACTAAATTATAGGATGTTCATTCACATTGCCAGAGAGAACTGTAAATTCCATTTAAAGACATTTAAAAAAAATATATAATACAGCTTTAGGAGTATATAAGTGTGGTTTTTTTTTTTTTTTTTCTTTTGCTATAGTGCTTTAATTTTAATCGTATTAATGGCTCTTTGGATAGACTGGACATACTCCATAAGGAGAAAGGCAGAAAAAGATTTAATTTCAGATGGCTGGTTACTGATTGTTACAGAGATGAAGCTTAAACAAACAGTGTATAATGTATGTTTTTGTGTAACTTTATTTCAAAACTTGCTGTTTTCCATTTTTAGTTAACGGCTCTTCCTCTAAAGAACCATTCTTGGTGTTAAACTGTCACTCAGATGTGTTGCATTTAATAGGAAGCCCTGAGATGCCTTAATGCACAACTAATTAATTTAGCAGAAATGTTTAAAAGGTTTTAAAATGCCATGACATCTATGGTATATCACAGGACATTCAAAGCTGGATTTTAATACCCTACCTCTGATTAAAAATATATTTTAATGCTATTAATCTAGAGAAGTTAGCGCGTAAGTGCATCATATGAAAACACTTTCTGTGAAACCTGAGAAACCTGCAGTTCTTATGGCTGATTCCCTAAGTACTGCAGGTTCAATTCAGTTATGCAATGTGCACATGTTATGGTAGGTTTCCTTTTTTAGGGGAAGATTCTTCTGGTTGGTACTACCGAGTAAAATATCTTGTAAGTCAAAAACAGTTTCTGTCTTTTGTTGGACAGTACATTTTATTCCAGGATGTCGTTGCATTTTTTGACCCTTAAGATAGTTTAAGAAATAACTTTGCAAGCAGTTTTATTAACCATGGTCTGTGATTTATTCACTGGCAGAATTGATGGTTCAGTGACTTGCAGCTAAAGTAAATGAAGATGAACCTTTGCCCTAAAGCCCCCTGAAGATCAGTGGGAGAATGAGTTTTGTTGCTACTGATTTTAGCTGTGAGGGTCGAGTGCCAAATGGTTCATTTTAATTGCTCTAGGCCTTGGAATTTTAAAAGATACCTCATTTATTGTTTTTTACCATATGAGTTATAGGAAAGAGGAAGGGCCTGACTCCAGCGGACATTTGCTGTTAGGGGGCAATCAGCAGTTTCTTCCTCATTTCTTCAAAATAATTAAGCAGCTTTTGCATGCTCTATTATTAGAAATCTAATTCCATCCATCCATCCATTTTTTTTTTTTTTTTTTAATTAGGGTTACTAAGTCTGGGGAAGGGGAAGAAGAAACTTTATCAGAGAACAGTTTCTGGCATAGGTGGAGTCAAAAACAACACATGATCGATTGGCTTTGATTGTCCAATTTAAATAGCGCACACTTTGCCTAGCTCACCGCTTACCACACACCACTGAAGTGTCACACCAGTGGTTTACATATTTGGTTCCCAAGATAAAGAATTATAAATACAGAGAGATATATTGAGTTTCATACTGCTGTCCTAGAGGTCTGCGTGTGTGTGTGCACAGAGAGAAAGCAATCTAGATTTCAAAATTGTATCTTTTAGCATTATGGTAGTCATTGAATTTTACCTGACTTTGAAATAATAGTTCTCTTAATTTTTTTAAGTGGAATTTGATTTAAAAGTGATGTAATGATAATTTGCATAGGGTAGATATTTTCACAGTGATGCTAAAAGTTCTGAAGGATTGCAGTGAATCGAAGAAGGCCTTTTGGTCTCTGGAGTTGAAACAGAACAGTAATGAGTTAGAACCCTTTAATGGTAAAGAACAAATTTCATAGGGCATCTGTATTTCGTGTGTTTTGAAGGGATAGGGCAACATGTAGGTTAAAAGCTAAAGTGAGAAACATAGAAGAAAGCAAGAATTGGCTATCAGGTTCGTGGCGGTACAGAGCGTTGGTACATTAACATTAGTGACAATGTCAATTCATTATCATTGATGGCTAAATAATCCTAGAAATGCTCAGTGGACCTATTAGTTCCTGAGCATAAGCAGCTCATGCTGCGTTTCTTCATTAGCTTTCATCGCTATAAATTTTACCTTTTAAAAAAATCATGCTTTAAAAGGTGACGTGATCTTTCAGGAACATTAACTCTATAATTTTGTCACAAACAGAAGGTCCTGCACTGTGTTTTTCTTTCTGCAGTAGTCAGTACCTTCATCTCTGCCCCTTAGGATTTTATGAATAACCTTTTCATTACTTGAGTTGCAAGAGAGAAACTGTTCTTCAAAGAGTTCTGATTGAGTAATAATGTATAGAAATAACGGAGCAGGCACATTTTAAAAATGAAATTAATGCTCACACTGTTACATTATTTTGTCTTAGTAACCTCTTGCTTTTCTTGAAAAAAACCTCATTTTATAGTGAAATTGATGAAAATGACAGTATGTTTTGTTGAATTGAGCTCAATATTAATGGTTTAGATTACTTGTAATTGACTTGTTTTTCCTATCTTTATATACAAAGGATATAGATGCTCATCAACTATGTATCTTGAATACTTTTACTGAGGCTTAGTTTGACTTGTGCATTAGCTACTCCCTTAACAAAGACTACCTTTTAAACTTTTACTTCAGTTGTTTGGACCCACACTGATTTCCTTTTATCTTAAAATTGAGCTTAAAGATTCATTTTCTCCACTTCATCAGCAAATCCTAGCTACGGTATATCATGGATTTAAGTTAGTCTGTAAAGCATCTGAATGTGTTAGATGTCTAATTCCTGTCAGGTAGCTAGGGTTCAGAATTCAGGATTTCACTTGTGTTTACCCATGCTTTATGTGCTCATGTTGCCGTAAAAATTTCAGAAATGTGTTGCTTTGCAATTCCTGTTTTAAGAGCCTGTTATTGATAACTTCATTTAAAAAGCCTTTGATTTTACTTTCACTTTTAGGATGAGCAGTTTTTGAACAGTACAGTTTCCTAAATGTGATCTCAGGAGGAACTTTATACAATATAGGTGTATTTATAGTGAGCACTTAATGGGCAGTTCATATGAACATGTGCTGTTGGTCTGACATGGGGCGAGTGAGGTGAGAATAAGAATAATAGAAAGCATCTCGATACAGAAGTTAATAATTTTGTGGGGAACATATGCTTAAAAATAGGTTAAACACACATTTTTACTAGATTAATGTCTACTAAAAAAATAACTTGAAATTTCAGTGGCTTACAGATACCATGTTTTGTTAGATCTTTTTAAATTTAACTCTCTCTCTTTGTATATGCATACACTTAATAGTAAATGTAATACTGTCAGTAATAAATAGTAATGATGCAGTGCTGTGCCTTGGTGTACACCTTAATTAACGTGCACTTTGTTGTTGGTCTCCTGGTGTCAGGAGGTTGTTCATCTCCTGTTTGTTATCCCCATTGTACAGATGGTAAACTTGAGATTAAAAGTGTTTTTAGGGATGGACTCAAATTATGCAGTAGTGATGGTAGACCACTGTTTTCCTTCCTTTTAACTGTCCCTTTTTTTTTTTAAATTTCTCTGCTTTTTGCAATATCTGTTATTTTGCTTACTGACTTTAATTTGTACTTATTTTTTTCTCTCTAGGTTGTTTGCATCAGAATGTAATAACTGTAACTTACCTCCTTCCAGCCCCTAGCCACTTCTGTTTCCTGCTTTTAAAAAACTTGCTTGCATGGTATTTTCCTTTAACATTGTGGTATTCAGTTCGTTTTTGTATCTCTTCCTCTGTTCCACTTTTCTCATATTAGAGCGTTGTTTTAAATGATTTTGTTACTCTTTTCCATTGTTCTTTATGTGTTGATAATTTGCACTTGGGTGATTACAAATTGAACATGGTATAATAGAATTAGGTGCCTAGACAGATGAAGATATTGTCTTTTCATTAGGACAAGAGGGGTAAAAATTGATGAGTTTAGGTTACTGTTTTTGTTTTTCATGGCCACTTACTTAAAAAATAAAAAAAAAGAGAGTCAGTAGCAAACTAGTAAGTGGCCTGTGATCTGCATAAACCTCAGAGGTGCTAGCTGGGTGCTGCCTGCCGCTCTTCACAGGGATGCCAGGACGCCTGGTCTGGGGATTGGGTGATTTTTCTGATTGACTTCCTGTGTGTCTGTTCTTGAATCTTGTGTGTAGAGTTCAGTAGTTGCGTAGAACTTACCGAATGGGGGAGAGAATAAGGGCATTTTCTCAATCTGTCACCTCCGGGTTCATGGAAAGATTCTAGACATTTTCTATTGTGTATTAATGTGCTTATGAGCTGTTTATTCTTATTTGGTTTAAGAAACCTTAAATAGAAAGTTACTAATGCAGTGAAACTCTGTGTGTGTGTGTGTGTGTGTGGCGTTACCTAGTTTTTGTGCATTAGAAGGGATCTCTATGTAGATGATTATAATGTCACTTTCTGACCTTTGCAGCTTGAATAATTGTAAATCATTGCTTCATAATGTGTCAGAGAATGTCTGTACTAGGCAATTAAATGGCAGAATATAATAGACCAAATTATTGCCTGTCATGTTTTCAACAACACAGTTAGTATTTGAGTTACACTTAATCATTACGTGCATTAGCAACTTCATTGGAATCCAGCTTCAGGCTGAGCATGAAATACATTACATTATTTAAACCTCTAATGGTACAAGTCATTTATTTGTGGTGAAGTGTACAACATGCAGAGTTTCATAAAGCAAGGAACACTTGAGAGCTTAATTTATCCAAATCAAAGTCTAAATGCAGATAAACACAAGTGGCAAAAATTAGTAATTTTTATAGGCT